TTCGCTGCTTTTAGATGTTGTCTCCAAAGTCTCCAGTAGCAGAAAAAAGTCTCTAGATTTGGCGCCAGTAAAGACCTGCTTTGGTTTTCATGTGCAAAACCTCCCAAATGTTAACGATCAGACCTGAATGGACGTTATTATCCATCTACATATATGAACAGCACAGTGGAACACGCTCTAATATCAGAGTCTGATTTCCGTTAGTAAACTAGTTGATTTATCTCTATGCTTGTGTGAATGTTGAAGATTCTTTCACCCTTTGCTGCTGCAGCTCCCTGATGGTATCCTGGGCTTTCTCCAGGCTCTCGCTCGCCGTGTTGCACTGCTGCCTCACCACAGCCAGCTCCCGCTTGATCACGTAGTTCTCCTCGGCCTCCTGTGCACGAGTCACCTGACCCTGTATGAGCACGCCACAGAGAAGGGTCAACACCAAGCGCCCGCTTTTCTCACCGACATGCAAGCAAACTGGGGATGATGGACACCTCAGGATTACAGAGGGGAATACGGCAGAATGTACGATTATAGGGAAATACGGCTAAAGGTTAAAAAGACATTTTAACACTTAAAAAGGTTCATTTTAAAGAGATTAAACTCTAGAAAGGAGGATCAGAAGGAAGGTTTAAGCCTGAAACTGCAGGATTTCCTTTGCTGGCGAAACTTTGCCTGCTGGGAATTTTAACCCTTTATAGGGAGAGACTTTTTGACCCGTCCCTCAGTGAGGTCTAGAAGCACTAGATCTATATCCATCCATTCAGATCCTGCTACATGGCTGCACATCTGATTTTGGAATTTGACCAATTAGATGAATCTTTGAATGATAGATTACCGACTGGAAATTATATTGGAAAAAAAAAGGTTAACAAGAAAAAAGTTAAAAAGCTAATTAAAAAGTCAAGAAAAAAAAAGGTAAAAATTCAATTAAATAGTTTAATTATTTTAATTAAAAAGTTAATAAAAAAAAAGGTAAAAAGCTAATTATAAACAAGTTAAAAGTTGATAAGCCTAGTTAATTATATTCAGGTTAATGCCTCTAAGGTTAAGTTCGACCAAATAAAATGTGTTTCTTTCACTCATTTTTCATTTTCATTCATTTCTACTTTTCTTAATATATTCGGGTAAGTTGGTGTTTCTTTTTATTACATTGACATTCATTTTTACCAACAAAATATCCATATTTTCTGAATGTTATAAAGGTAATAAGGTCTTTTCCTGGAAAACTATTGGCTTGAAATGTGGTTTTCAAAGGATTTCACTGAGTTTCCTATAAAGGGTTAAAGCTAATTCAATGTTTTTACGTTTATCCAGAGAACCAATGATATATAAAGGAAGTTTAATGAAAATAAATAGTGTTAAATATGGGTAAAGTGATATTTTAAGCCTAAATACAGAAACGTATAACAGACGAGAAAAAAGGAAAAAGTTTTTAATTCTCCAGGCTTTTTTCTGTTAGATTACAGCCATAAAAACCTGTTCATGTTTATCAACTAGAAGGTGGTTTTCATGGATTTCTGCTCAGTCAGGGTTAGGGTTAGGGTGAGTCAGCGCCGTCGCTGGAACCAAACGCTGCATCTTTTCCTGGATGGTGAACGATGGTGAAAAGGTCTGACCAAAGATTTCACTCTAAAACCAAGGTCTAAAAACAGCAATGTCCCTGAAAGGGGGGGGTCGTCTGGCTTCTTTGTTAGCCTGCAATGCCCCATACCTGTCTATGTCTCTGAAAGGGGGGTCGTTAGAGGGAATAGTTGGCCTGGATGAATAGCTGAGGTCTTCTGTTCTCCTGTAAAGGGGGTGGAGCTGCGATGATGGCGGGAAGGAATCAACTCTATCGCTGCATTGAAGGTTTCTGAAAGCTGAAACCTGAGTCCCCCCCCCCTCTGTTTAAGGTTGGTTTTTCTTTCTAAACATAGATGCTTCCTTCCTCTATAACCACCTGTCTTCTTTGTCCAGAATGTGGACATTCTTTTCCTCCATAGAATGTCCTTTGTCCATCAGGGGTAGATGGACAGCACACCGTTATAACAACATGTTCAGGTGAGACAGATTTTAGCCATCGGTTTGCTGCTGTGGAGTAAAAACATGGAGGTTTGTCTGTTCTCAGCCTCCCAGGCTCCAAACGAAGGTCCTGAGATCAGGATGAGTCTCAGCCTCCTTCATGGGATGAAGGGGAGGACTGCTGTTATTAGGAGATCCATCTGACCAGTGAAGATAGATTAACCTGACAGGAAACGGCCTTCATCAACTAAAGCTGGTTTTCCTCCAAATGTTACCGTGAGAGAAAGTTCTTTATATAGGGGGTAGGATAGTTCCCAGGCAGACTGTGTGTATTAGAGTTGCTGTAGAAATGTTTGTAGTGAGCTTTGCCCAGTCAGAGCTCCATCTCTCTGTCTGAGGACGTTAAATAAACTTAAACATTCTCTTGCAGGAGTCTCAGCTTGTCCTCAACTTCAGACTGCTTTAATCGATCTCACATGTGAGGCTACTTTCTTCCTTTTGTAAAGATGTTTAGAAAACATCTTTAAAATGCTCTTAAAGTAGTAAAAAAACACAATAAGCCTCAGGGTTTGGTTCCAGATGTTCACAGATTCCCACTGATACTGAATACTAAGGGTCTTGTCCAGAGGAGGGCGCTGTTCCGTTGGACAAGACCCTTAGTATTCAGTATC